TGACTGAAACAGAGAGATAACCCAAGTGCTGACTAGCTGGTAGGTTGATGGTTATGTCAAGCCCCTGTTGCAGAGGGACACCAATCTGGATAGCAATGTAGGTGGGGAAACATCTATTTTGAGAATCCTGTTTTAGGGCCTCTGGTCTTCCAACTATGGGATGGTATCAGTAATGAAGTAGCTTGAAGCATGTCCACTGGAAAAAAGTTTAGGGTTCCAGAGAATAAGTGCTGCAGAGTTAATTAGAATTTGGGTAACATTTTTGAGAAAGTTAGAAGCACCTAAATGATTGAGTTCGGTTCCTAAAGAGCTCAGTGTGCTGCGGGTCACATGTTCAAATGGCATACCTGGGAGCAATAAACTTTAGTGTTTATTGCTTCACATTAATTGCATGTGTAAATGTGCCCTAAATGTATCAGTTTTAATTTTTTTCTCAACTTAATCCATCTAGCAGGTCCTCCTCTGTAGTTGCCCCCCTTGTAGTTTCTTCCTCTCCAAAGTGCCGTTTTAACTAGTTAGGTTATCTTGCTACCCCAATAGTTTCAGTAGCTTCTCCTGAAGCTAGATCTGCTCTACCCTTTCACCTCATGATGACAACTCAGTAGGTGTGCTTAAAACTTTCCCCACAACCCTTAAGAATGATTTTTTAATTTAACAAATGTTTTTACATAAAGCATCTACTTTCATAAAAAAGTCATTTTTCATCAGAAAACTTTTTTTTCCATTTGAAGCAGTTTGTTTTTCTGTGATGAGCTATCCTTTTCTTCTGAAAAAAAAAACTGTTTTAGAAAAAAAATCTTCATTTTGGTGTAAATTGTCTGTAGGGGAAAACAGGATGTCTCTTGGAAGAGGGGGCAGGTAAGCACCCCAGTCACCCCAAATGCATCTGTAGCAGAGCAGGGTAAAGACATGGAAGCAAAACTTATATACCGACAGTTAGGGAGGTCTCATGGTGACTTGACAATTTCAGCTCTGAAAATACCAAAGCAATTGTAGTGTCTACTTGATGTCAATAGGTGGCAGCCAAAAGTAGAGAATTAGATAGTTTGCTGCTGGGCTGGGAGTGTTCCACCAGAAATTTTATTCATTTACTTGCACTAATAGAATAGTTATCTACTTACTATGAGCAATGGCAGGAAAAATTAATCCATTAAACAGTGTGAATACATAAAGACATTACATCAGTAGCCTCCAGTTCTTACTGTACAGTATCCACTTTCACTAAGGCAGAGTGGCCACACTTTTCTTTTTGGCTCACTTTTACTGATTATGCAATTGCTCTTAACTGCTTGTGTCATTTATGAATGATCAAATGGACTTTGCAAGCCTGACACTGTACCTCTAATGACACTGGTTATTTATCAGTAAGGACAGTACTTTTACGCTGAAATTCTATCCAAGTATAGGATACTTTAAGAAATAACATTATAAATGATTGAAACAGAACTGTTCAGTTCCAGGGTCTGGGGTTTTGAGAGGGAACAGTCAGCCCTGTTGATATATCAATAGTATCTAAAGGATAGGGCCTGTTAGTAAGAGGGAATTCTGCAATGTATTTGAATGACGAGAAAGTGTCCCATTGGGAGCTTAAAACCTCAGGGGAGAGAGCAGAAAAATAGCAAATGGTGAGGGAACAGTTTGCAGACAGGACACAAACTAGGAATAGAACAAAAGCTTGCTGTCAAGGAGGAGTCAGGCTGCTGTGCTGGGGTCAGAGCCCAAGGGCTCCTTTCCCAATACTTGTAGCAAGGCAGAAGGGTTTTGCTTTGTTTATTTGTTTGCTGCTCAAAGACTATGCTTTATCTGGGAGGACTGGCTGAGGAGCTCCTCAGGATAAAAAACCTCTCTATTGAACTCAGTAGGCTAAGCAACCAGCTTCTGGTCACTGGAAGATGTAGCTTTTAAGCTGCATCTTAGGGACGAGACCCTTGTGATTCCAGGCTCCATATCACCAAGCCTGGAGAAATATGGGGAAAATCTTATCTGGAGAAGAAAGAAGAGAGTAATGAATCAGATATTTTGTACAAAACTGACTCTCATATCCTGTTCTTTAGTTAAGAAACAGAGTTCTTATTAGCTGTAGATCCTGTCTCTGTTATGGAGCGAGACATGGAGGAGGGAGATAAATAGGGTATACCAGCTGTCATGGAAATGACTAAACACCATTGGAGTTTATATATTCAATTTTTTTTAAAATGTTCCTCCTAATTTTAAAATCTGTCATGGTTATGAAATTCTGGTCCTTGAGCAGCTATGAAGGAACTGTGGGTTCAGCTGGGGTCTGCAGCACAGGGGGTTCTCCCCACCCCTGCTGGCAGGGCTGGCTGCACAGCCCTGCCCCCTGTTACTCTCTGCTTCTGACCTGCAGTGGGGAAGGGGAGAGGAGGTGTTCTGTCCCAGTATCTCCTCCCTCTCCCCACCCCCGCAACTGGGGTCTGTCCAGGTGGAAGGAGCCCTGTGCTGCAGGGGGAGGTTCTTCTGCTGCTGTCTTGCCTCCCCCCACCCCCAGGCTGGGGTATTCCCAGATGGGGGGAGCACCTACCACAAGGAGTTTCTCTGACTCCACCCAGCTAGACTGGCTGCATAGCCCTGCCCTGAAAATTTGCCTCTGACTCACTGCGGGGAGTGGGGAATGAAGCCCCCCATCCCCATCTCAGCCCCATCACCCTGAGCTGGGGTCTTCCCAGCTGGTGGGGATCCTGAACCATGGGATGGTTTCCCCTATCCCTGCTTGGCTGGGCTGGTTCCATAGAAGGAAGGACTGAGCCCTGCTGCCTGGCACAAGACCCCTGGGCTGCCTGACATGTTGTGCTAACTGCTGCTGGTGTCAGGCTCTAGTGGGATGCACTGGGTGGCCCAGAGGGCTTCTGCCAGCCAGTGGGGATGGGAGTGCTCCATAGAGGGAAGGATCAGACCCCACTGCTCGGTGCAGGCCTCCCGGGCTGTCTGTTGCATCCTGCACTTATGTGCCCTCGGTAATATCTGGCATGCTGGGAGGCATGCGAGAGTGCCCCCCCGTCCTCTTCTGGCCTCAGCCAATGCAGGCATCTACCTGTCTTCCACAACTGAAGAGTGAATGTGAGTTCTTTTCATTAATGGTCCAATCTATGCAGCTTAGAGAAACCTGTGAAGATTGGATTGATTCCCCCATGAGCTTTTTGACTTTCTGCACTTAGCCAAAAGGTAGTTTGGCTGAATATCTCTGGATAAAGGTAAAGAAGAAAAGAATGTGTGGTGTCTACTGTAGACCATCTACTATCTTTTCTGAGCAATTATCAATACTATCTAAAGGACAGGGCCTGCTAGTAAGAAGGAATTCTAAGAACATAAATATCTGTTGGAAAAAAACAATACAACAGGACCTAGACAATCTATTAAACTCTTGGAATACATTGGGGATGCTTTTTTCACTGCAGAAAAATCAGAGAAGATATTATAGGAGTGGAGAATGTCATGCTGCTGCTGGTTGTGGTTACTGGTGTTACTGGTGGTGCTGCAGGTACAAACGCAGCTTCCATCTCCTTGCTCCCACTAGCAGCAGAAGACTCCTCACTGCCAGGAAAGAGGGTGCATCTATCTTTGGGGGGGGCGGGAAACTTGCAGCTCTCCCTCAGCCCCCTTTCCCTCCCCTGCCAGAAGACCTGGCACCTGGCTTTCCAGCATGCTTCATGATGTATGGTGTGCTGCAAAATGTGTGCATATCTGTGTGTAATGTATGTAATATATGTTGTGCTTTCCTGTACAGTGATGACACACTGTCAGGGAAAACACAGATTTCTTTTTGTGGGGGGTAAAAAAGACAGGCTAACAAGTATAAATAAGAGAATTTGGGGGGAACAATAAGCTGAAATGAATGGATAACAATATGGATTGTAGGCAAGGGTAAATAGGAAAGGATTGGATAGAACTTGGTGGCAAGAGACTACCTACTACCAAGCCAGAGCCCTCCAGATGCTGCTGCTGCAACAGACAGACAGCTCACAAAAGGCACACAGATGAGTTCACACACAGCCTTATATGTTGTTTCTGTGTGTCTGCCCCAGAGCACTGCGATTGGAAGGGAACTCAGAGAAAGATCACAGTCACTGGCCAGCTATAGATGTCAATATCAGAGCAGTCTCCCCTCTGCACCCCCTCTTCTGAGTTTCTGTTTTCTGCATGACTGCCTTCCGAATCTCTGAATCTTTTCCAAATCAATTCAGAGGGTTCGATTCAATTCAGAGCTTTTGGGTCTCTCAATTCAATTTGGATTTAGAGATTTGCCTGCCAAATCTCCTCTAAATTGAATCGGCTACCAAAGCTTCACACAGCCCTAATAATCAGGTACTTGGGCAGCAGACTCTTATTCCACATACAGTTAGGCTCCGATTCTGAAAAACATCAAAATTAACTGCTAAAGGACTTAAGTATGTGGTGAAAGTTAAGCCAATGTTTAAATACTTTCCTGAATCAAGACTATAAATACCATCAGCCTGATTTAAACGTATTTGAAGTCAAGAAAAAGACTATCAATAATTTCATTGCACACTGAATCAGGCCCCAAGTATGAAAAAAATCAGAGACCTGTTTAAAGAATCAGGTTAGCACCTTGCTGTTGAATAATTCAGAAGACTGAGGTCAATCAATAGTTCTTCTCAGGTTTTGTGCTTAGACTGTCCACAAATGATGTTATCTAATTAAATGTGTTATGTCAAAACCATGGTATAGAAATATGTATGTATGGCATATATTATATATTTGTATGTAGTTACTAGTATATAAAGTTGTCTTACTCTAGCAAAAATATTGTCTGTTGTATAGATTTATTGGAAAAAACAAACTTGCAAATGCAAATGACAAAAATGTAATAAAATCATGACAACTGATCACACTGTCAGTGAAATCATGCAAAGAAATACACAATACCCAAAAAGAAGAATGAGGAAAAAGCAAGCACACAAAAGGCAGACAAAAAAAAGACTTAACAAAGTGAATACAAACAATTCTAAAATATTTCTTACCTTCTTCGGTCATTGTGTCATAATATTTTAGTTTTCCATATGATCCAAGCTCTATAACATCACAGTAAAAGACACAAAGATAAGGAAGCAGTAGACATTAAAAAAAATCTACATGTTTTCACATGTACTTAATAAACTTCACAGTGATTATGTAAAATTCCTGCAGAAGTATAGGCAAACATGGATTGTTGAAATGGTGGACAGTTTTTTTTCTTGAAATTTCCTAAATCAGTTGCTTCAGTTAAGTGACTTGTTCACATGCAATATGGGGGGGCCAGGGGGAGGGAGAAGAGGGAGCACTGCAATCTAGGATAAAACTTTAGCTTGTGACTAGTGACTTTTGGTGCAAAAGGGGTCGGGGTGGTGCAGACATTAAGGTGCATGGTTGACAGCCTGGAGATCAAAAGTTTGAGGCCATAGCAGAAGCGCTTATGGCATAGCCCTGTCATATTTCAACAAATCTGCAAATCCTGCTAAATACCTTGTCATATGAAGACAGAAAAGAACTGATTTTGGGTGTTTCAATTTATGGGGCACAAATTTAAAACATCTGAAAGAGGCCTGATCAGCAAAGTGGTAAGAAGCTGCCTTTTAAGAGCCAAACTCTTTTTAAGTGTCTGAAGCTTGTCATTCAAAAATTAAAGCACCCCAAATGATAAGGTGCTTTTGGCAAGTCTGTTAAAATGGTTTAGACCTTGGACTGCCCCTAGAAGTAAATGTTCTTGCAATAGCTCTGATGCTGAGTTGCTATCAGACCTTGGATATACAAGCTTGGCCTCAGATTTATTATTTGAAAAATTATGGGAAATATATTTACTATATTTATTTACAATATGGGATGCTGTGAGGCATAATTAAATTATGTTTTTAGAATACTGTATGAATGCAGTATTATATTTTCTGCCCAGAATAGAAGCATGGAGATGTAAAATGGCTGCTGCTTCTTTTCCTTCTGTTCCTTCCAGCAGCCATATAGAGGGTGTGGTGGAGTCCATCCGGGCAGATCTGAGGGTATGCAGTGGTGTGGTTGTATCCTACTTTGATTCCTGCTCTCAAATCAAATGCCCAGCTGTGGCATTTGACTTCTTAGGTCATTATAATTTACCTGATTCCTGCTAATTTCTCTTTACTCTACAGGAGTTAATGACCCACTCTCCTTTTTTATAATTTGATGTTCCACTAATCAAGCTATCATTTATTTGGCAATTTGACTGTCTGTTAACCTTTTCTGCTCTTTCTTCTCCTGTTTCACAGCCCTGCAGACTGTTTTTAGTTATTTTCAACATCCTAGATCTACCCATGCCTTCAGCAGACGCTATAATTTCAGCCTTCTCTTAGTGGCCAAGAACTGCTGAAAATTCAGCTGTGAAAAGCTGTAGGTTTTACCTGCACAGGAAATAAATGGAACATTAGATTGTCTCTGCTCTATAACTCTGGAAAAATCTTGTTTTGGGAAGGCAGAATGAAGAAAAAAGGGTGCATGTCTTCTCTGGGAACATGCGGTATGTGCTAAAATATGATTATCATGGTCCTTCAGTAGCAAGGAAAGGAGTGGAAGTCAGAATCATTCCGTTCCCAGGCCTGTAGTAATTTCCCTAGATGACAGGGTATTTGTGGGGAATCATCTCTTCTTCCTTCAGAATTATTTTTCAAAGTTCATTTTTATTATGAAAGTGGGTTCTCCCCCTAATTTTGTATGATATACTATGAATAATTTCCAGTTTTCTAAAACGTCTTTCAGAAATTAATATAGTGAGGGTTTCAGAATCATGCAAAGTATTCCAGAAAAAAAATTATGATCTAACTAATTTCTGATTCTCTATCTAAAACTTTAATAACTATGCTTTTGAGAACCAAAGATTTATCAATGGCATAACATTTTGAATATTTAGCCATCAGGTAATAGAGTTTTACTATAAATTATCCTTTCTTCATATTCAGGAAAGTGCTTAAGAAATTAATTATAAAAATAATAGTCTATTATTTTGTTTTAAGTCTATTGTTTGGAGAGGATGTACCTCATGTTCTCTTCAAACAGTTGTTTTCACCTGAGCAAATTACAATAGAAATCTTGCTTTTAGTTTTTAATGCCAAGACATTGGGACACTGTAGAAATCTGTTTTTTATAAGGTTTTTGGTTTTTTTGTTTAGACTCCACTGCATACACCTGAATCTGTAGGTTGAATATTTTTATGTCATATGTATAATGTAGATACTATTTATATGACACATTTTCATTGTCATTATGATTTTAAAGGTGTTACACAAATGACTACAGAAAAATGTTGGAAGAATAATCTATATATTAACAATAATTGATCACATATATAGATATGTATTTATAAATGTTTGAACAATGTAATTTCTCTTTGTTTTTGCCCATACATACATACATACATATCCATAAGCACACATGTATGTTTACGTGCATAAAGGTATTATCTGAAATCTCAATTAGAGCAAAGACTGCAATCTATTAAAGAAAGGATTTTATATAGTTTTGCAAACAATTGTTTATGACTGCAGTATAGTTTTAGTTGTTGCATTATACTAAATAAATGCTTTAGCCCTTGTATCTTGATTTTACCCTAAAAATAAAGGTGGTAGTTTAGGACCTGAATCCTTACCCATGCAGAACTCCCAGCAACTTCAGTGTGGATTTTCTTTAGCCAAGGAGCTCAGGGCTGAGCGCATATTTTATTAGAACCCTGATTAGCTTAACCACAGAATCCAAGTTAACTATTAATAGCTCTTCCTCTTTTAACAATATTATTTTTAACTCTGTTTCAATTTGCTTGTGATCAGACAATCTGCAGGCTAGGGAGAGAAGCTGGTGAAGGGTAAAGAGAGATAGTAAAGACAGAGGATACCAAAGGAGGCCTTAAGGGAAAAAGAAGATGTGAAATAGCACCAGGAAGTAGATGCAATACTGGAATACTGATTGGTGGGTGGATACAGCAATAAGGAAAGAAAGCAACTGTGGGAGACCACAGAGTGGGGATAGGAAGGGAATACAGGGTGCATCTACATGTCGCCATATGGTGATGTTGCTATGGCGCCGTATTTTGTACTTCCTTTCGGAAGTATTAAAGTACGGCACAGTAATTGCTTGTATTGTGCTGTGTGCACAGCACACAGTAAGATTTCACTGCTACATTGCTGTAGCAGTACGCTAAAATGGGAGAGTGTGCCATTACGGCGATGTAGATCCATGTGATCACTATGTCACTGTAGCACGCCATACAGCAATGTAGTGTGTTGCTACACTGCCATAGGGCAACGTGTAGACACACCCACAGTGTATGAAAGAAGGTATCTACCAAAGTGTGAAATGGAGTATAACTGAAACAAGAGTCTGGAAAGAGAACAGCATAAGAGAGGATATGCTGCTAGTAATGAAATGGGACACGGGTTTTGAAAGGAGCCAGCAATTCTATTCTAATATTATAAAAGCCTAAGTCTGTCTGTCTGTCCATAATCCTTTATTCACACTCTGATTGGCTGTCTCAGCACAAGGGGGCAGGGAATGGGGTTGGGACCACCACAGCAGGGGAGGCGGGGGGGTGGAGCAACCCTGGGCCTGAACCCGAATCACCAGGGGGGAATGGGATCAGGTCCAAATGTGGGGACAGGGCTGGACGAGGGGAGAGGGGGTGCATGGCTGGACACTGGGCTCTGTACCCGCTGGCCCCTCAAGGGCCCCAAAGCGGAGGGGGCAAGGGTGGGGAGAGTGAGCCTGGCCCCAGGCCGCTGTCCCTGCCCAGCCCCCTGCCCCGGCAGGCAGCGGCGATGGAGCAGATGGAGGGGCGGAACTGGCCCTGTCCCCCCTGCTCCCTGCAGGCCACACTCCCAGCCCTGCAGGCAGCAGTGACAGAGAGAACGGGGGGGCGGGGCCAGGGGATGGAGCGGGGTGGTGGCCCGGCCCGGCTCTGAAGTGGCAGCGGGGCAATCCTAGCCGCAAAAGGTGGATGGGGGAGCTAGACGCAGGCCTCTGTCCCTGGCCACCCCTCCCTCCCTCCGCCCGTAATTCTTGGGCAATTGGCTACTGGGAAGATAAGGATGATAATGCCAGATATCCAGGAGACAGAAAACAAAGTTTGATAGATGGACATGGCAGGAAATATGCTGGAGATCAGGGTTAATTCCATTATTGCTGCTATCTCCACTGAAATAACAGACTTGGACAAACAGGAAGAAAAAAAAGACTCAGACAAACATAAAGAAGAAAAGAAGACAAGCACAAGAATTCACATTGGAATTTTTCCTGAAGTTTAACTTTTTTTTTTTTAGGTGCACTATCAAGGCTAGCAATTTCACACTAATAGAAATAAAACACTTAAACTCCTGAATCATTGGAAAAACTGTTGCCTGTAAAATTCTAATCTTGCTGCTGCAAATACATTCCCCAAAAGCTTTACAATACTGGCGCAGAATTCCTGCAACTAATGAACTAAATGCCCTGCACCAGATACAGGCAAATGAACCTGCTCTCATGAATTAACACACTCACTTCAATGAAAATGAGTAAGCACCACTCAAAATCAGGACAGGCAAAGCATCTGGCCTCTAAACAACAAAGACCTATTTAAGTATTTGAAGATTAAAATCTAAGATGTAGAGAAATTATGGTCCAAATAGTATATCACTGACTTCTAAGATTCCCTCTTTAGACAAGGCTCACTGAAGATTAAGGTCAATGTTTTCACACTTGGCTGCCTAAATTAGACATCAAAACCTTTATCTGCAAATCTTATTACATATTAATATTAACCTGATCTAAGTCTTCCAAAAAGTAGATATACCCAGTACATATTTTCCTCCTATTGTGGAAAGGCTAGGCAGTCTGATTGTCACTAGTGGATTATATTAGCTTCTGTTGCACAATTGCTTGAGTGAATCTGGTATGTGTAGTTCATTTTTAATCTTCCCTTTATTATTATGAGGGTCATCTGGCTAGACTACAGTAGGAACCAACACATACTCAAACTGGATTCAGTTCAATTTATTTTGTAGCCTAGTCAAAAAAATGCATCCCTCAAAACTGCTCGACT